CAACTAATTAAACGTAATAAAAAGCTTTCAGTGAGTTTAATGCTAACATGGTGTAATTACAGCTGCGTTTTGAATGCACGGTGCATGTATTACAGGGTTTGGTATGTGCCCCCCACTTTCTATGACCTAAATTCTCATGTTAAACCTATCATATGATCAGTGAACGGGGCACTGCCAATCACCACCTTTGCAGACCTAAACCCAAGTCAACCCCTATCCAGTCCTGTGCGTTCATAGAGGCACTACATCAGCCTCTGGGGGCAGGGGTGGGAAGGAGGAGGAAACAGCCAGCCAGTTGCTTGCTTCCTCATTCTTCCTCTTCCCTTCAGGAGGCACCCTTGCTCAAATTCTCACTTCCACGAGGCTCCCACTGCTCTCAGCCCTCTTCCTTCCTTTTGTAAAGAAAACCATGGCTGCGATGTCAAAGCCACTTCCAACACCACTTCCTTGTCAGTCTGAGGGGCATCTTGGGTGGAGGGGCACTGCGTGCAACTGCCCTGCTGGCACACCTCGGGGGCTGGCTCTACTCCTTATGAAGCAAGAGTTACACCATACAGCCACCTGTTACCCAGGGGAGTAAGGAAGGCTGCTTGGGAGGTCCAGAGAAGGCAAAAGTGATGATGGAAACCATGTAGTGCTCCAGCACTTGCCTGGCACAGTTCCCTACTCCTCCAAGTATTTGGAAGATGTGTGAACACATGAAAAAAAAGGTGAAGAGCAGAGCAGCCAGGCTTTAGACCAGCCAGGATGTGGGTAGGTACAGCTCTAGATAGTTGTTGCACCCATGGCATTCCTCACACTTTCCCACTCATACTCCTCATTGCTTTCCATTGTCCACAGAGAAGTAAGGTAGGTACAAACAGCCCCCAAAACAGAGACGTAACTCATTGAACAAAAATGTAGCTTAAGAGAACCAATTAAAATGATGAAAATCTTTAATTTTATTTAAGTATAATTGTACGGACACGTGTATATACAAATACAGATCTTACGGGGCAGGGATTTTTGGGTGGGTTTTGGTTGGGGTTTTTTTAACATTTTCTTTTAAGTTCATATAATGTAAGCATTTCAAAAACAGCACTCAATGAATAAGTGCAAAGAAACTGCAAAGCAGGGCAGTACAAGCACAGGACCACACTGAGCTGGACTTTCATACCCAGATGCATACACAATGAGTGTCTTCAATGGGGTGTCAAGAGTAAGCATGGAAAGCGGATTTCGCAGACTCATGGGTAACCTCCAACATGCCAGCATCTATTAAACTGTACAGACAATGGCAGCAAGCCTATTGTAGGGAGATTTGTCTCACATCCGAGAAGCTCGAGGGCGAATGCATGGGAAAAACTCAGTGATGCCAGACCAGAAACAGATCTGCCCATTCACAGCTCCAAATTAAAAAAGGAGGAGGGTGGGAGAAGAGGAAGGGCAGGAAGAGGGAAGAGAAGTGTGGAGGGTTGTACATTAAAACTGGTGATTACAAAATCCAAGTGTAATGAAAGGAAGGGAAGAGTTAACACTCTAAGCCTCTGAAAGTGACTGAACCATAGCTCTCACAAGGCAATGGATTAAATTCAGTTTTGAGGGTCAGGGTTGGGAATCAACAGGTACAAATACAACCATTTTCCTTCCACAGTTATATAGGAAAGGAAACAATCTACTCATCTACTCTCAGTACCTCCCAAGTGTGTTTCTAGTTTTTTGGAACCAAGTACATGCATATATCGCACATGACACTGGCAAGATCCTTTCTGGAAAAAAACCCAAAACTATTCATGGAAACAAAACCAGAAGGAAAACAGGAGGAAAACAAAATTAAGAAAAAAGAAACAAAAGAAACAAAATAACAGAAGAGTTGTTATATCCCCAAACATGATACAGAAGAACAAAAACTAACACAGAAACCACAGGGCTCCAACATCAGACCTTTAAACACTGAGGACAAAACATTGATCATCAAAAGTCATGTTGTTCCAGGTCTTGACATTGTGAAGTCTTGCAATAGGTGAACGATTTTTCAAAGATGAGTCCTGTATGCTGCAGTGTCATGGCCACTTGTCTCTCAGTTCTCAGCCATGATCACTCTTGATGCTTCAAAGCTCTGTCTTGTAATCAACACGTGATTTTAATATCCTGAAAATCTATTGTTCTCACTTACAAAAGACATAAGAATCAAATTAATACTTTATTATCAAACACTATATACAACAGAGGTTGCTAATAATACAGAATTTAAAGAACATAGCTTTAAGTTTTACTTGTCTTTCCTTCGCCATCCAAGTAACTACAGTACAAAACAATATTCTAAACTAACACGAAATGTTACCTTGTCTATTAAAGGATACACAGTATCCACTAAACTCACTGATCCCTATTTTCCCTGCTTCACATTGCAATGCCCTTGGCAGCCAGGAGTGCAGGTCATGGGGGTAAGTATGCCACCTAGGCTGAGGGAGAATCCATCCCTCAGACTTGAGCTGGGGCAGATGAAGGTGAAGGGAGCAGAAATCTGCTTAATTTGCACCAACATCTGCATTTAAAGCATCCAAAGATCTGCCACACAACACAAAGCCCATCAGCATTTATGTACTTGGTACGACTGGGATTGCCTGATGACAAGTATCAAACAGACAGCGCCTGGTACACTTCCAGTCACACCAGGCAGCGAAGGGACCTGCCGTGCATCCCTCGTGTTGCTCCTCATCTATCCAGCAGAGCTCTGTGATAAAACGCAGGGGTGAATTTCACCAGGAGTAACACTAGTGAAAATCCGTTGCTGTGGATAAACGTAGGTCTTGAATTCCGACATGATTCAGAGACCAAGGATGAAAAATGAAGCCACCATTTCTACATTAAATGGGTGCTACTGGTATGGCTGCCTGCAGTGGCTATGAATCATTATAATACGGTTACCTATCAGGTGATATTATCTGTACTCTGGTTAATATCCATTTTTTAAGGTGCGTTAAGCTCACCTTATCCAAAGCTTTTTAATTTCTACCTACAGCAAGTATTAGTGTGTGTACCAAGCACATCCACATTAAAGAGAGAAAGGTACCAGATAGCCTGTAATGAGATGTTGCCTTCCCTCGCTGGCCAGGCCGTGCATCCTTGCTGCGCGCACTTCACGCCAGAGGAAATCGCCTACGTTCCTCCTGCAAGCACAGCCCCTGCAACAATGACTGTGTTGCACGATATCAGGCAAGCCTAGATCATAGTTTAGCATGCATAAACTTCCCTTTATATCTCAAATTTACTTCCCCCTTTCCTCATTTTTGAATAGTGGGCTGCGTCAACTTCTGGAAAGCTTTTCTTTGTTAAAAAAAGTCCACGAAGTGCTGTCCATTAATGGCATCAGACAATTTTGTTACAGCAGACTTTTTCTTCAGAATATAGAAAATCTTTGTTTTGCTTGAATGCGCTCCATGTTTTGTTTCACATTTAATATAATTATCACAGTTTTTGTTAGAAAAGCTCTCTTTCAGTCTTGGTCTGATATTTCCCTGACTATGCTTAGCAGTCCAAATTTCATGGCAGCCTAGCCAAAAAATACCCCAAGGCTTGCACTTCCTGGCAAATAACTTTTTAAAGTTCTGTTTTAGCCAAGGCTCAGATTCCTTAAACAGGGTCACTCCTAATTCCATCAAACAAGACAGTCCCATATCCTAATTGCATCAAGGGTTACCACTTCTCTCACGTTTAAATAGGACAAGCATATATACTCACTCTCAGCATAAAGTATATCTAAATAATGTATTTTCTATTCTAGTGGATTTTTAAAAAAATATTTTGTTAAGTCTTTGGGAGCCCATCTAGTTTATCTCTGGCTGATAAACACGTTTCCTCTACTCTTCAAACTGCGCTGGAAGGGGAAAAGACAAAAAACCAACACTTGAAATCGTATTCCACACTTCTTCCCCCCCACCAAACAATGCTACTAGACTGTCCTGGCTTCTTCTACATGTGGTTTATTCCCATGACTGAGGAACTTGCAGGAGAGACAAATCAAGAGCACACTGGAGATCCCGTGTCCCAAACATGTTTCCTCTGGCCACTGATGTCCTCTCTTTAGCATGTATGAACACCCAGAGCAGCATCCAAGGCTATCAGCTACTAAGTCAGCGCTGGGGAAGGTCACTTTATTCTCAAAAGTGCCTCTGCATTTCAAGAAAAAAATTGTAGCACCACGGTGATTTGTTTTAAAATAAAATAATCCGGTGTGCATTATCCCCTTAAAACGAAATAACAGAGGCACTCACACCCCCAGTGAAGTTTCCTAAATCTGACCTTGCCTGCTGTGTGCTAACATTCCTAAATAATAGCTTCTTCCTCTCACCAAAGACAGTGTTTCTACTCGTGAGCACAAATTCTACTGTCAAAGACGTTTCAAGACAGTCCTATAAGAAACATCGTCTTTCCTTTTCAGAAGCCTGTTCATTTAGAAACTCCTGGAGGAAATGGTGTGGTATTATATCTGTTCTTAATATTTCCCCTCCAGTCCTGACAGGGTGACACGATGCCTTGCATGATCATCTTACAGTGCTGAACGAGAAGGCATAATCCTTGTATCAGAGAGAAGAACTCTCCCAGGCTTTCACTCACTTTCCTTATCCTTCACTGACTGCATGTGCCACTATTCTTCCTTGTCCACATACGGATGAGACAGTGAGCTAACAGAGGTGACTTCTTAAAGGAGAATGCAGAGGAAAATAAGAATCACTAGTGTCACTATTATAGTTTGGCATTTTCATTTGGAGTCCTTTTATTTATATGAAGGGTTAAGAAAGTCACAGGGTAGGTAGGGGCGGGTGCTGTAGCTAGTTATCCCCTTCAAATTTTTGCTGAGTTCAGGGTAAAAGGGAGAAGAAAAGGTAAAAGGGAAAAATAACAATTCGACATCTGCAAAAACAATAAAGTCCCTTTCCTGGGATGAGCAGTTAGGTGGATCTTTGATGTTCCAAGACCCTGGTATTTTCTGCGACAGGTTGCCGGAGCATACTGTGCTATAATATCAAAAGCATTGCCAGGAGGAACAATAGAGTTGCCAAAAGCCGGCTGGGTATCCTTGGTGTCTGTGCCGCGTTCTCACCACGGGATGGCTCGGCTGACTCATGTACAGTATCATCTGTTCAAACAGAAAGCATACATTCCAATGAGATTTTGCATCCTTAATAAACTCTCACTGAGCCGACAACTGTAAGTAGATTTCAGTGCCTTTATGAAATAGGGCAATGAACCTTGTGCTGTCATTGACTTTCACAAGCGTGTAATACCTCATTATGTAACCAACTTGGGGCCAAGTCCTGCATTTCTTACTGGCAAAACTCCCACTGAAGACCAGAACAGCAGAAAGTCAGTCTAATTTCAGCAGATTGAGGAATGAAAGATTCCTTTTCTAATAAAACACTGTAGCTCAGCTTCGGATGGCTCATTAGACAGCAGTGTCAATAGGGAGGCAGCTAAATAAAAACACCTGATTTTCAAAAGGGCTTAAAGAAGAGTTGCACATGCTCAGAATTAATTTCCCAGTTAATCCCTTTACTGAGTTACGGATTTTGGCTCCTAAATTTGAAATGACAGCCTGTAAGCCCAAGCATATATTCCACTTCCACGCATAAAATTTCCACTGAAGTATAACGTGTCTGAGGATGCGCAGGGGATATAAGACCAGACTTCCTTTCTTGAAACAGAATTTTCAAGGCTAACACATGACAATCTCTGATTTAATAGACACATTCTCAATCTGCAAAGCCTCAGATAACAGACCACCTTTTATGGCACACAAAATACAGATTTACGTATAGGCTGTGAAAACTAATGAAAAAAAGAACCAGCTGAGTTGGGAGAACATGCTTGTACATTAGTGGTAGAAGAGAACACAGCAGCAAATACTACACTTATGATACCAATTAAAGCGCCTTTTAGTTTCTGTAAACTAAAGAGCGGCCTTAAAGCCACAGCTTGGAACAGTAAAAAGGTAGCTAAAGTCAAATTCAGCTTCAGTGTTGCTATAGGTGTGCTGTTTTTCTCCGCAGAGCCCTCCATATCCACAGCTATCTGCTTTGGCTATTTTAAAAGCAATCTGTCTGAGGGCAGCCATATAAAATCAGCTCTGGGTTTGAATTTTCTTTGTGCTAAATGTATGAAACAAGCTCAACCTTTTTAGGACAGGTGAAGTGGCCTCAAAATGTATTCCTAAATTATTTTAGAGTGTCTGTGTTTCCAGGAAAATTAATAGTATCTCAGTATTTAGTGTAATAAGCTCCCCATTTTATGAGCGGTATCGGCATATCTCTGATGTATCTGTCTTGTAGCTTCCATCTCAACAAATTGCACGGACAGGATTACACTGGGCGAGAGCTGTGCAATTCCAATTAAAGGCACTAAGGGAAGTGGGAGTCAGGATCTGGGATCACCGTGCTGCTTTGGCATGGAGTCTTTCATGTTACTCAGCTTTAGCTAGAAACCAGCTCCCTGCCTTTCGTACCCTCAACACCTAGCACAAAAGCACAGGCTCTTCAGCCCCAGTTTGGTTTAACAGCAAGATCCACAGTAAACTGGATTAGCAATTTACCACGTTTTTTTCCAGCACTAATTGACGCTACAGTTGCGTAAGGTTTATCAACAGGCCTTCAGTGCTACTCTAGGCAAAAGTATGAGAAGCGAGCACTGATCAGCTGTAAATACATTCACATTTGTAAAGAAGGGACATCATTGGATGAAAGTCCAGCTGATTTCAGTGGGAAAGATTGGTTGGAAGGACTTCGGTTACAGCCCATTACCACGTAAGGCAGGAGACCTGGCCAGGCACTTCAGCCCTGAACTAGGCCCTAATATTTTTCCTGCAGAATTATTCCAAAGGAATCTAAAAATTTCAGTGAATGATGGCTACTGAAAAGTGCCAGTTTCAGTGGTTGTCAGTGCCAAAAGCTGTTTCACATTCCACTTCTGAGTTTCTCTTGTACTTTAGTGACACTGAAACAGTACTTGACAAGAGAAGCTTCCCAATTTAATCATATTCTAAGAAGTTATGGGGAAAAATATCCCTGTTCTAACTGTCAGTTCTACCTCATTTCATATATTTAGAGTCAGCTCTTCCCAATTTGGAAACATATTCACTGCTGATGAACTAAAACTACAGAGGATGTGTATTACCTTCTACCTCTTGCATCATCAATAGAATTGCAAGTAAGTCTGAATTTGCAACACTGAATGTCAACAGTTTTGTCCTAATTACGTTCATGAGTCAGCACTAAAACACAGTAGGGCAGAACTAGTGTAAAGCAGTAATAAATCCTCATTCTCTTTGACTATCAGATACTGCTACAATTGTAACTCTGGCTACTGCTAAAAAACCCAGAAAAACAAGAAACAAAAACCTCTATGGAAAAGCTCTAAACTAAAAAGATTACTTCTCTTGAATGAAAAATATGGAGATCTTCTATGATGGCATTTTTATAAAGCCATTCTTCACAGAAGAATTAATTTTCATGTAACATTAAGGGGCTCCTTTCAAGAAATCATCTGGGTTTTCTGTCAATGCAGTCCCAAGGTTTCGGCACTCATAATTTCAGCACACAATTCATATGTGGTTCTCAAAATCACTTTACAAATACAATTTTCCTTAGAGGTGCACAGTTATAACACTGCACAATCTTTAATGCTTGGGGAAAAGGCTTTGCTTTATTTTACACACTGAAGGCAAGTGAGGAAGAGGACAAAATTCCTAAGTAAAAATTGGAAGGTCACTGCTAAAGACTGGGAACGCCAGCAGTAAAAAGTATTTTGAGAGTCACGACTTTCCCAGATCACACAGCTTTACATCACATTCTTCAGATACATTTTTTCCAGATATGCACAGCTGCATTTTTTGTTTAGAGAATTTTTATTTTTTACCTTGCAGGAGGAAGACAAGGGGTGGACAGCAATAGGGTGAATTACTTTCATCACTTCTGAAACAAGTGTGATCTCTATAGACCAGTTTCCTACAAATTCCTAAGCAAAACCAGTGTAATTACAAGGGTTCAAAAATCACACAAATGGTGATTTTTAAAAGAAAAGTGACAGTAAGTAATCTGCTGAACATGACTCTCCTGCCTCCCAGTTCTTCTGTCTACCGTGGAAGAAGACAGTGGCAGGCTAAGGGGGGCACAGAAGCAGAAGATGTACGTCAGAGGCAGGTAAATTAGTTCATGACACAGATCACATGCAAGAAGATCCACCAAGGCAGCGGGAAGTCTAACAGCCTAATAACAGAAAAGTGTGACAGCAGCTGGCAGATCTGGGAATGACCAATTGTCTGATGGTGACTGGTCCAAATAATAATGCAAATATACACTGATGTCAGAAGTAGTAACTTTTTGGTACCAAACCTTCTCATTAAAGCTATTATTTCCTCCTGGTAAAACAAACAGCATTTCGCCTCAGACTGCAGGTTGCTCTGTGCATGATTTTGGATCCCTGGTTTACCTGCTGCTTTCTAACCATATTCTTTTGTGATGGGAAGTGAGCAGCACTGCTGAAAAAAAGCTCAGCAAGTTCATTAAAATCTAGCAGTTATTACTCGAATGATCTCTTTTGCACACCAGTAACAGGAGAAATACACATTAATTAGTCCCTGTTTACCAAACCACAAACGTAAAAAAGTGAATCATTGAGTTTCTAGATTCACAGGTTACCTATTAGGGAAAGATCATCCAAATGCCTTCTGTAGAAGAATCCTGTTAAATGTACAAGTGTATCTAATATAAATGCACTCTCACTGCATTTAGATTTGCTTAGAGAACATCTTTGATTCTCAGAACCAAAATTTTTAGGACAGTTCCAAAAATTCTCTTAAAGAAAAATAACAGAAGCTATTGTGCATCCATAGGTAAATAATTCAAACTGGATAACCTGTGAAAGCCTTATTTATACTTCTGTATAAATAATCTCTTAGTTAAAGGAGCTGCAAATAACAAAGAGCAAAATAATAGTATGTTGCTTCATAGCTAAGGGGAAGTCTCTTTCAAACAGCATAAGATTAAAAAAAACCCAGGTCTTAGTACTCTGTTATTCAGGGTATGTACTAAATGGTATGTATGTTTGGGTTTTTTTTTCTGGTATAGTTTGTTTATTTAACTGTGTATTTTAATTACTGAGTCTTGAATACAACAATGTGCAACCAGTGTGTAGGTACATATAAAACAAACAGGTAATACTACTATTGCAAATACTTTTCCTACATACCCACCTAATTTTAATGTCATGAGTCATCCCACTGTAGCTGGTGTGGTTACTCACACCCCTAGAATTAAACATGCTTCTATCTGTCATAAACCTGAGCCATACAAAGAATACACATGCACTTTCCACACTGAGACACATCAGCTTGAACGATGGTGGAGGTTAATGTAACTTTGCCCTGGGCAGTGAGGGGCTTTACCAGAGCAAGCATTATTCTTATTCTTAAGGCGGCATTTCACAAAGAAGAAAAAAAAAAGAAAAAGGACAGAGGAGCCCCCAGAAACTTAAGTTTGCAACAATAGGAATAGTATAGGCATTTATATATATCCTATATGTGTGTGTGTGTGTGTGTGTGCATGCAGAAATGATACGTTGCCTACCAAATGTACATACAGACGTATATAATTGTAATGGACAGATTTATTACTTAAACACTAACTCTTGTCAGTTGCATGGCTGTGTCATGCACCAGCACTGAACAAGCAGTGGTTCTGTTTTTCTGAAAGTCTACCGAAACCACGTAATAAATGAATTGTGCCAATTGACTGTATTTCTAACACTCTGGGCACAGTTAGTAAAGTGTTTTGCAAACATGCTGGGTGTTCGGCTTCAGTGGGCCAGTGACTTCAGGATAGCAGTGAAAATTTTACACTGGCAAACATTTTATTAAACCACGTTGCCCAAAGAACAAATTAAACAACGGTTTTCCTCCCCTGCATTAAAAAAGGATACAGGAAATATACCATAAGCAATATTAGCACTGCTAGAAATGTGCAAAAGCAGAGCAGTCGTACCATGCAGAGCGTGCAGAGAGAAGAGGGGAAAAAAGTACTGAAGCACCAGAGGGATACATGCATTTGTTAAAAGAGATTCTCTAAGCATACTAACCTGCTGGTTCTAATGAATTTTCTACTTTGTCGTTAACATCGAAAACACGATCATGAACACCTATAGTTTTCATACAGCTGTCTATAACAAAAATAGAGATAACAGCCAAATATGTTAGTGAGACACCCTTAAACTCCCCACTTTCCTTTTTTTTTTCTCTCTTTTCCTCTCTATTTGCTATATATAAATAAGCATAGTTATATTTTTAAGCCCATGGCACTTGTCCAAATGCCAGTATAATCTTCCACTTGTACAACAGTTTAAGAAACAACAAGTTAGCAACTGCCATGTAATTAAAACAAAGCTTTATGAAAAATGGTAAGAAAATACGATGAAAATCATAACACAAATGTTGCTGTACAGAACAGATACACAAGATTTAACAGTAAAAAAAAAAATATATTTACTGCTGTTTACTAGACCACACAGTAAAGCATGCGCTACAAAGCCACCCTCAAAAGCTGAATCAGAAGAACTTACTTGCTGGCCGCACAAAGACCTTAAGCTTTAGACAGGATCTCCTTCCATTATCTGGGATCGCAGAAGCTGTAAATGGGGAAGAAGGAAAGACAAGTGGATGAGTAAGACAGCAAAAATGCAAATGATCTTTTGTGCTAAAATAAATTACCCTTTATCTTCTCTTCATCTGAAGGGCTGGACTCATTTCAGCCTCTACATGTAAGGACTTCAAGTGCACGAAGTAGCTTGATCATGCAAAAGCTGTGAAAGAACTGCAGATTTTATTCTAATACCCCTTTTGATTATTTTACATGGAAGAATTAAAGCACATGGTGTTTTCAATGTTTCATTATCTCCTTTCACCTTTCCACACCTTTTTCTCAAGAGGTTATTCAATACGGTTTCCGCTGTAATGCAGGTGTCTCTGAAAAATCACACTTCAGAATAATTAAGATCATTAAGAGAAAAGATAGTCTTGAAACACAAGGCCATAGGATTCAGCAGCCCAAGAAGAGATAAAAACAAAATGACACTGAAGGTGACAATGCTAAAAGTAGAACTCCTACAAAGGTAGAAATGCACATCATTAAATTCTACCGCAAAGTCAGCTTCCATATGCTCCAACACATCTGCCTTTGTTGAGAAAACACTTGTCTTGCATCAGTCAAAACATGATTCCCCATGTTATATAACCAACAAACGAAAACCAGCTTATTCCTTCTTACTGCCTTCCCTCATCATTCTCCATTTAAAGTATTTCGTTCTAAGAGTACTTACTGTATTAGGAGAAAAAGAGTAAGTGGAAACAACATGTCTAGCACTAAGGCAAGAGATCATACACATAAGATTGGTGTCAGCACCTACTTATTTCCCAGGAACAAGTGCTGCTGTGAAAACTTCCTTTCTAGAACTGTGCTTGCCTCAAAATACGTGATCACAGGGAAATACTCCTGCCTGTCACCACAAACTATACTCCTTAGTCTGCCAGACTGAGCACACTGGTAACTTTCAGCGATGTCTGCAACTTCGGAATTGTACGCTGGCCTGCGGTTCACCATGCACTGCTGGCAACCAAGCAACCTGACCTGGGCATGAGGAAATCGGGTGGTGGAGGACCGTTCACATAAACCTTTTTTCATCCTTGCAAAAACTCTCAAAAGCTATAGCTGAAAAATACGGCCTGAAGCACTGCAAAGTAATTTTTAATTCATTGCATACTCTCCCTCATCATTCAAAAGCTATGTATTAGGGCAGAACACGCCATTTGCAGAAAACGTCAACTATTGGAAGCTGTCTTGACTTTCAAAACATGATTAGGCTGGCAAGATGTTGTTTTGTTGTTTATCACTTTTTCATCCATTTTTATTAATTCTGTCCCTGTTTGAAAAACAACTAAAATGATTTATACACAGACATATGAATGCACACTCTTCATAAAATCACAGAATGGTTTGGGTTGGAAGGGACCTTAAAGACCATCTAGTCCCAACCCCCCTGCCACAGGCAGGGACACCTTCCACTAGACCAGGATGCTAAGCTCACACCTGAAGGGCTCCTCAACTAACCTGAAATAAATTCCTTCAGTCTTTGATGATGTGTTTCCAAGGCAGTGATCAGCTTTTATCTAGAAGAACTAGCAAATGCAGTACGAACACAAAAAAAGGAGCAAAGTAAAGAGCCCAATACAGCTAATACTGTGGTTCTGCACCTGTTGGGAAGTGCTTGAAAAAATATTCCCTCTTTTAATCAGAAGACAAAAGTGTGTAGAAATTATGCTCTCCCCTTCACAATGACAAGCAGTTAAGAAGTGTTAACAGCTGTCTTTGCTATAGGCTCTTACTAAATCAAAGTCAGGAAAACTCCCTCTACTGACGTTTAGAGCAACTGGTGTGTTATTTAGGGCACAATATTTGCACTCTGTGGCTACATTCAGGAAATTGTGTCCTTTCTGTGGCCCTCACTGAATATAAGCAACTGGCTAAATGCTTTCCTCAGACTAAACAAGCAATTGTACATTTCTCAAAAGATAAGAAACCTATAGTCATTACCACATTACTAGCATAAAGTTATTTCCAACATTAGCCAAAATAGTCTCTACAGTAGTGTTATCACTAACAGATTTTTCTTGCTCAGAGATTATTTCAGAAATGCACCATGACACACATTTATTTAAAGGCAAGTTTTAGCTTTGATGCTTACCTGCTGTTGTTTATGTCCATAAAATAAGCATATTTTGCTCACTTATTAGACTATTCTGTTGGTCAGTGACTAACTAGGATAACACTGAATAGCTAGGATAGATAATATTCTATCTGGAAAAACAGAAAATTAATGCTTTGTACACAAAAAGCATGTATGTGTACACAGTATGTGCACACTTTCAAGAGAAAACAACAGCTAGTGATTGGCCATATTCTTTGGAATAAAAATACTCAAATCTATTCACTGGTTAAATCTTTTTCCACCAGTCCTCACATGGGTTTGCAACTATCTGTTTTATCATAAACTGCAGTCCTATTGCAACCACAGCAGTTGCAGCTAAATCATCTTCCCAGAAACTGACGCAGTTTTAGCAGTAAGTATAAAAAGGTACTTTTTTCCTTTTCAAGGAAATTATCTACTGTCAGTGTTTGCAGTAAACCCAGAAAGATTCCTCTATAATCAGTGTTTTACTCCTTCAGAAGGAATAATAATGAATTAAAAATAATAATAAAAAAGTAATAGGTTGTTCTGCTCTCACATCTGCCTCAGCAACCAATACCAAGGTGATGAAGGGATACACTGCAACCTCTTTGGCCTTCCTGAGAAATTAGGAACTGTTTGCAAAGTTGGATGACTGCAATTAATTTTTTTTTCTTCCTTTCTTTCTTCTCCCTCCCTCTCCCTTCTCCTTTTCATCTTAAAAGAAAAAAACAGACCAGTTGCAGCTTTTGCTTTAAGACCAGACGTATCACCCACAGGGAAGAGTCAGGTTGGCTCATATCATCTGTCCTCCTCTCATGCACACTGCTCTTAAGTTTGTCAGTTCTGTTCTCTTCTTTATTCTGCAATATTTTCACCAGTATCCTATGAAAACCCTGCCTGTTGAATTAAGACGTCCCGAATATGCTGGCAAGAGTTGAAATTTCCACACACACACACTTCCAGCAACAAGCTCAACATGTATTTTCTCTGAATGCTAGGCACATCACACTTGCTCTCCACTGTGGAAAGCCAAGAGTCTTCATTAAATCTGGGTGTTTTCGTAAACTAATGTCTCCAAGCTTGAACTCAAGTTGAATTCTGAAGTCCTATTATTCTGCATGAAAGTAGCTTTAATGGCAACTTCTTGCCGAAGAGGGCAAAACGCCACATCAGGGTGACATGCTTGACAGCATGTGCCTAACAGCCACAAAAAACCAACAAATGACCAAAGCAACACAGTAGAAAGGATGACCTGCACATATTAACATTTACTAAGAAAAAAAAATACTAACTATGCTTTTTCTGGAGCAGAAGTAATACTGAAGGTAGGACCTAACAAAAGTTGAGGCTTACATGAAAAAATTCTGGCGTCAGTTTGAAACAAGTATCTCTTATCAAACTGACTGCAACTGGAAAAATCCAAGACTTGGATTCAGGACCTAAGGGTACGAAACAGTAAAGTAATAGCAGAAGAAAGTCCAGAGACTGAAAGTGTTTTACTTTTCAGGAAAAGTGGGTTTTCAATGCAGCAGAGTCTGGCAAATTCCCTGACGCTCTGTTGCACACTTGCAAGAGAGCAATGCTGCCGTAGTCTGGAAAGGAGAAAAAGAACTGTTCTTTATCAACTGGAATCTGTTAAAATTGCTTCCTAGGTAAACTACTGCTGCTGTTGTCACATTCCACTGAAGTTACCTATAGTGTAAGAAAAGATGTCTGTTCCAGGTGGTACAAAGAGAAAATTCCTTCTCCTTTCTACACAAACCCAGGTTAGCCCCTAAGGCTTTGGTGTAAGTCTTTCCTATTCTCCCATTTTAAAGATGATATTAGCTATAAAACAGAGGCGAGTTCTGAGAGCAGGAATCCTCTGATGCTAGTGGAACCTGTCCCAAGCAGCACTTTTCACTCCAAACACTGAAATTTCCAAGGAAAAAAAAAAAAAAGGCAATTTAATAATTGAATCCTTGCTGCACAACAAAAAGAAACCTTTGGAAAAAATATGCCTTATAAGGAGAAAAAGAGGTTATATTGTCTTTTTTCCATGAATAATACTAGAATAGAAAAGGTCTGGCTGGTTTAGTTTGTGTCAGGGAGAATCACAACGAAAAACAGAAAAGGAACTCTGCAGTGTTGCTAATCCCTATATTTCATTACAATTCCTATGATACTTCTTCACTCTTCGCTTGCCCTAACTCACCTTTACTGGCAACTTCATAACATTCTCCTGGGCCTCTCTTCTAAAGAAAGTGTTTTAGACTTCATGGTTACACAAAAACTTGGAGTTAGAAGGAAGTGCACACTACAATCCCTTCGGAATCACAAGATACATGAAAACACCTCAATGATTGCAAAAATAACTGCTTTAGTCTCATTTTTGAATAGGAAAATTACATGATTCAAAAGAAATTCAAGTCATGATCTCTGTATTCTTGAGATGAAAATTCCATCTCCATTAGATGAACTAGAAAAAAACCTTATGCAAAGAACTACTGTGCATAGGACTAAATCCAAAGTGGATCCAAAAATGGTCTATAAAGACAAATTAGATTAGAAAATTTCTCTTCTCTGAACCATTTCTGGCTATCATTTTTATACCCTGTAAGGAAAAGAAAGAGAGTGAAGAAAATTATTCTTTCCTCATCTAGAGCCAAGCCATAAATATTTCAGTATTTGTAGCTATATTTAAATATTGGGATAAAAAAAAAAAAATCCAGCTCCAATCATCCCACTCCTCAGCAGTTCTGTGCTAGAAAACACATGGTACATAATTAATATTTTGAATATAAATAACAGGTTAAGTCCTTCCTCAACCTGATAAGGTTTAGCATTGTTATTCAATGACTGCAGGAAGCCACAGATAGAGAACAAAAAGTAACATACACAGAAAATAGTGTGGGCATTTTTCC